TGCAGCTCTCTGAAGGTGCTGAGGTACATTACATTGACGGAGCTGCCCGTGTCAACGTAAGTTCGGTGAATGATGGTGTCGTTTATCTCCGTCCGAATCACCAAGGCATCCCTGTGAGGAGAAGAAGTAGGAGGGAGATATGCGTTGGTAAAGGTGATGGGTTCCTCCCTCAATCGCTTTACCGGGGGCATATGAGTGACTTCCCCCACGTAAAGCGATTGAGCCCACTTCTTTCGTTGGCTGGTGGAATCGCCCCCTGTATTGCCACCGGTGATCATGAGGATGTGGCGTCTTCTCCTGGTAGTGGGGGTACTCCTCCTCCTCTTCTTCCAAGTTTCCGATCTCCCTCTTCTTGCCGAGGGGGATGGTGTTCGGATTTACCCAGGCATTTACCTTCGTATGGTGCCCTCGGGGAGGCCCCTGATGAGAAGGTCCCTCCTGCCGAGGGCTCTGGACAAACTGGGACAGGTGTCCCGCTTGTATTAATCTCTCGATGGCCGTCTTCAGCTGGTGGCAGTCATCGGTCCTGTGCCCCTGGTGCCGATGGAAGGAACAGTAGGGGAACTGAGGGTTGATAGCGTGTACCTCCGGGGGTGCGCGAGAGTCGCGCTCAACGAGGCCCCTCTCCTCGGCAAAATCGAGGATGATGCTGACGGGGTGCGTCAATGGTGTCCGAGGGCGGTCCAGGAGAATGGGCTGGGCCCAAGTCTTAGGGTTGCTCTTATAACCTCCCCCGGGCTTGGCTTGGCCTTGCCGAGGGCGGTCATCAGAGGGTCCCGAAGCCTTGGGGCTATTTGGAGGAGCCCCCGGCCCTCGGTTATGCTTGTTGTCAGCCCTCGGGGGCTGCTGGTCCGGATGCTGGTGATACTTCTTCACCTCCTCGGCCTCAGCATATCGGTCCCCCCGCTGCAAAGCCCTTATGTAGTCGCGGGGGGGTTCAATGATGAGGCTCCTTGAAAAGTTACCGGTGCGGAGGACGGTTTGTAGGAGGGCCAGGAGGGTCCCGTCATCAGCACCGTCGACCTTGTCGGCCTCCGTCCTCCAGCTCTCCAGGAAATCCCGAAGGGTCTCATCCTTCTTCTGGCGTATTGTTAGGAGGTGGGAGAAGTGCTTCCTTGTGCGACGCCTCCCGGCGAATTGTGTCAAGAATCGTTGGGCGAGTTCTTGCCACGAATCAATGCAGCCCTCGGGCAGCCTGTTGAACCATTCGTATGCCGGCCCCTCTAAGGTGGAGAGGAACCAACGACACAAATATTCGTCCGACGCCCCCACCATCATCATGCTGTTCTGGTACTTGCTGTAATGTTCATGGGGGTCCGTTTTTCCGTCGTAGGGCTGTATATGTTGTCCTCGGTATTTTTCCGGGATCCGGGCCGCCAATACCCTTGGAGTGAATGGCGTCCGAGTCCGGAGCTGGATGACGGGTTCTCCGGAGCCCTCAGCCACCTTCTTCTGTAACTCCTCCATTTTGGCCATCATGGCCTCGTATTTGAGATCTGAATGAGGGGTGGAGGTGGTGGCGTGAGCTCTGTTGGACTCCATCTCGTCAAGCCGGCGTTGGAGGGCCGCAATAATCTTGTCCCGGGGGTCCTTTGGGAGGGTCTCCGCCCCCTGCGAATGAACCCGGGCCGAGTGGGCCTGGTTGATTTGGTGCCGAGCATCATCGGCATGAAGGGGTGCCTTGCCTTTGTCCCGAGGGGGACGCTCCTCGTCTGCCCTCGAAACGGATCCCCCGCTTTTCTGGGGCCTTTGGAGTGCTTTCCCCCCGAGGCGGTCTTGGACCCCTCGGCGGTCTGGCCCTCCTCCGAGCCGGTTGAGGGCGGAAGTACGGGGCCTTTCCCTGTTGTCATTATGGCGGTCCCGGGACTGAACTTCCTGGGAGGACGTATCTTGGGCCACCACCCCTTCGTCGTTTCTCACCCGAGGGGTGGGATTTCCGAAGGGGTGTGGCAGAGGGGGAAGTATGATATTTTCCCCGATCTGAGGGTGAGCTGGAGCCAGGGTGCCGAAGGCACCCGGGTTCTGGGTGAGCGTCTGGATGAAGGCGGAGAGCGCCGATTGCACGTCGATGGTGAGAACCGGAGGGCTGACTTGGTCATCGCTCCGGTTTTTCTTCTTGGCCTCGATGCCGAGGCGGGCATCGGGGGCATTTTGTTGGATCTGGAGGCGTAGGTCGACAGCCGCCTGTTCCAGCCCAGCGATGACACCGCCCTCGGGAGCCCTGTGAGAGGCTTCGGGGGCGTTGACGTCGCCAAGGGCCAGGTTCTTGTCTTCTACGTTCTTTGAGTTGGCACGTGTTGTCCTCACCATTTTGATAGAGGGCTAGTGTTTTGTGTTTGGTCGAGGGGGGGGGGGGGGTTTCTTACTCGATTGTTCAACCTCTCAACGAGAGCACCAAATGATGGATAGTCTACCCGGGGGTATATATCCGAAGGGTTATTACGGGGAATAACTTAGAGAGAAGTCAGAGCAAGTAAGTAAAAGTAGAGAGAGAGTGTATTCAGTATGAATGCCGTTTTCAGCGTGGTTACAAATGGGGAAATGGGGTGCTATTTATAGTAGCAATAAATGTCGGGCAGGGACACGTGTCAGGCGCTCATTGGCCGAGGGGTCACCTCAACTGGTTGGCGCTGGCAGCCGCATGTGGCCGCATTTAATGCGGCTGTTGGATGGGACGTCTGTGCAGGGTACGGTGATCTGCACGCATGTGAGGCGGATATCTTGTCGAGTGAGATGCCTTCGGCTATAGAGCAGTAGCCGAGGGCTCTTCCACCCGATGGCACCCTGGTGCCGACGAGGGCTCACAGTGCCGAGGGCTACTGTTTTCGCCGTTTTCTCCCAGTTTCTTAATTTGCTTGAGAAACCCGTTCTGTGAGAATTTGGAGCCTTCGGCCAGGGGGCCGAAGGCACCCCTGGCGCGTTGTGCGGACTGCTTGGTACTCTGGGCGCTGTGATTTGGGCCTGTTGGGCCTGTTGGGCCTTCGCTGGAGTAGTAGGAGTCTGTGGGCCGGGGGTTCCCGGGCCATATACTCCATCATGTAGTATGTTGGATTCCCCCGCAAAATATAACTAAAATGAGACTCAAGGACAGAAATATAACTAAATGGTCAGCGTCAGGACCATGAGAGTCACTGCACCGGGTAAATATGATTACTAGTCACTACACATTAAGGAAGTCACACTTTGCTCATGACTAATTTTAGTAATATAATTGTCATTTAATCGTATATTATTCCGGGAAGGAAATTCCCGAAAATAAAAATGCTCAAACACTTTTGCTAAGTGCTGGTGTCGATCATGTACTAAACAAGGTTAGCATCCAATTATTTACTCTTAACTTTTCAGTGCTCCTGTATTTCTATTCTATTTTGCTTACTTAACTTTAAATCAGAGAAATAGTCCTCTGTCTTTCATACGCTTTTATAAGTAAATTATTTAACTTTCAGGTTTTGCAACGGGAAATTAAAGAGAATGATTTATGTAGATTGAAGCTAAGGTTATCGCAGTTATTTTGTGACAATTTAGTTGAAGTAAGACCCATCTGTCAATTCTCTTGGATTGGGTGTATTATGTATTCATTAAATAATCTTTTTTTTCTATTTTGTACTTTTCAAACCCAATAGAAGGGCTGAACGAATGCCTTGACGTTGTACCTACAACATGTATTCCTTGTGCGGTTGTTTCAAGTCTCAACCCAAAAAATGTGATTGACACCTTAGAACATCTGCAACTCATCAAATATTTTCAGGTTTGCAAATTCTTACTTCGTGTTTGCAACTCGCCTTAAGTTAGTTACTCGTCGGAGGGCCGTTGGCCCAAAGCCAATGGCCAGACTCTGACAACATGATTTTGTGCAGGATGTTGACACAGTAAACACATTGACGAATGTTGCTATGAACTCTAAACATGCCAACAGAAGGCACCTACACACAACCCTTGACAACATAAAAAGGGATAGTAAGGTTAGTATGGGTCATTCATATAAAAAATATGAAAGATAAACCCATACGCCTTGCACGTTCTGGCCAAAACGACAGATATACCTACACCAGTAATTGTTGGGTGTGTTTCGGAAAATAAAGGAAATTAATTAAAATAAATTAATTAAATAAAATGACTAGAGAAACCAAGAAAGGAGATGAAGCAGAATTAGTCAAAGCTCGTGCTACGCACGATATCCTTAAAATGTATTTGTTGCCTCACACGGTGCTAGGAGCGTTGCAACAATCGTTTCCCAGGATACGATGACTACGAACTAATGTTTGAGCACACAAACAAGAGTTCCAGCGAACGAGAACCAAGTATGAACACAGAAGAAATTTGCAGAGTAGCTGTAGGTGTTTTTAGCTTAATAAATTCGTGAGGAATGTATTGTGCCTTGTGTTGTTGCAAACCACCTGCCAGCTATTTATAGGAAGATTTGTTGTGTGTTAAAAGGGGTGTTAATGGACCTGAACGTTGGACATCAATGACCAGTCCGTTGGGCATTGAATCGACCATAAACTGTCCATTTAACGCAGTATTAAAAGAGAAGAACGTTGGGCATTAACTTTCGTAACAGTAGAATTGCGCGACAGAAGACCCCAACAGAACACCCCTTCGAGGGGTTCTGTCCGAAGCCAACAGAACACCCCTTCGAGTGGTTCTGGTCGGCACCCCCCCCCCCCCCCCCCCCCCCCCGCGCGCGTAAAAGAGAGTCTTTCCCTTTAGGAATCTTAACTCCTTGAAAGAAGCTTCCCTTTATAAGGGGGTGAAAATTCTTTTAGTTTTCCGATGTGGGATAAAACACACTAGAAACTCATCATTTTCCCAGTTTTTCCATTTCACCGAGTGAACTTTGAGAATCAATTTCCCATTCACCCGTTATCCGTTTTGAGTGTACCATATATCGAATTGTAGCCCTTAACAAGGACAATCCGAAATCACTTTGACCCGACCCAAATCGGAAGTGGACCCCACTCAAATAATTGCCCCAAAATGACCATTTAATGCAATTTTTAACACATTTTTCCAATGGTAATGATAACCAATACAAATGACAGTCGGCGTACAAGGAAAAAACAAATTCATCATCATATGTAAACAAAAGAGAAACAGTCGGAAACGATGACCATCGGACACTGGATAAACCACCAGTTGGCATGATCAGATGTTGTCCAAAACAAAAGTAAAAAACATAATTCCAAACGCATAAACCAAAGAGGAAAGCGGCATAATTGTTTATTCATAATAAGACAACAACCTACGGATTAACAGTGCGGCCAGATTCAGCTTCAGTGTCACAAACGCCCAGATCAAAGCCATCATCGCATGTTGGTGGCTCCACTCCCTCAAAGTGCTTCTCCCAGATAGCAATGTCTTCATTTGGGGTCCTTTGGTTCATCTCACCCGCCAGAAAGGATGCCATGATGTTCTTCTTGGTCTGCCAAGTGTAGAATCCTGCCGCATCAATTACTTTCTGACTCTTTCTTCTACCATACTCTTCAAGAGACCTAATTCTAGCCGATCTCTCCTTTATTTCCTCTTTTAAGTTGCCAATTATCAAAGTCAGAGATGATGTTCTCTCTTCCAGACTAAATTTCACCTGGACAAGTTCGGAGAGTTTCCTTTTTGCCTCTTCCTCGGCACGTTGAGAGGATAGCAGGTCATCTTCCAAGGCCTGCATACGCTTTGCAGCTGCTAAGTTGGCCTGCAACACCTAATATTCATGAACGAGGGACAAAGAATTAAGCATCACTTAAACATGAGTAGCAACACAAATTTCCTATAGAAACATCAACATACCTTGAAAGCTAGAGTGGAAGAGGTGGATAGCATGTCGACATTACTTAGACCCGAAAAGATGTCAACAGCAGAGGGAAGGAGCATTTGAGCAACTTCGTTTTTCATTTTGAGAGCGTTATCAAGACGACAGAAATCTGAGGAAAACTCAACCTTCGAGGGAACGACTTCATTTAGAGTGGCATCTGTTCGAGTTAGAGGAGTACGAGGCGGCAAGGAACAAGTCGTCATAGCAGCTGCGCTCGCAACAGGAAGGGACGGAGGCATCACTTTTCTCTTTTTTGAAGTCAGGATGAGTACGTAACTCATGGGAATTCAGAGCTCGCCGCGACCCGGATGAAGATGAAGCAACTAAAAGAAATCAGGTAGACAAAGCTCAAGTGACGAACTAAAAAGAAAAAGAATGAAAGGAATACAACACTTATAAAAATCCATACCGTTGACGTGTGAGGCGGGAATAGCAGCGACAGAAACAAAAACCGCAGGCACACATTCTTCCCTAACAGATGACGTGCCAACACCATCTGTAACGCTCAGGGTATCTTCCTCCTTTTCAGAACTTTCGACTGAAACAAGTAAACAACCAACATATCTTGACATGAACCAGATGATTTAGACACATTCCGAGAAGAGCGTCGCAAGCAGACACGAATAGGACTGACAGAGGAAGTATTGGGGGCAATTGTTGGGCCGATGTTATTTCTTGCAATTAGAAGTATTGGGCCGGACATATTCTCGATATTTACTAATAAGAAACGTAAAGAAGGCTACTTAAGTTCAAGTGGGAGACCTATTCTTCTAACGGTTATCAACTAAGCCGGAAGAAAGAAAAAGATAAGAACGAGCGGCTGCACGTGGAGAAGAAAACGGAAGCAGGCACATGAATTGGGGGAGTAATATTTTAGTCAATAAATAGACTTCTTAATTACGTTACCAACACACGATCACTTAATATATAAAACTCATTCCACACATTCAATACCTTGTAACCAAGCTTTGAACCATATACGAAATATATATTCAATTCATATCGATTCATATTTGTTCGATTCCCATTTCACATCATATTAGTTTATCTTAGCATAAACAATGTATATGTATGCCATCCAACACAATCGTGCTATTCTGCCAGGCACATTTTTGTTGTATATATTAGCCGCTAATGTCAAACAATTTTTATGTGATCAATATTTGTATACATATAACTGGTAGAAATGCTTTGTGATGTTAGATCTTATGCTTTAAATTGTCGAAAAATTACTTAATTACACTGCAATTGAAAATTTTCAAATTTCTTCTACGCATTTATTTTCGGGAAGACACTCCCACTACTAGAAAACTGGTATATAGTGACACTAAATAAGTGTCACAGAACGTTTTACTGACACTAGAAAAGTGTAATAGAAGGTCGGGAATTTTAACACTACATTTAGTGTCATAGAAAAAGTGTCACAGATTTCTGATATTTTAGTGTTACAAAATATGATGATAGATTTGTAACAAAAACATTTAAACACTCATGTGTCATAGGAATTGATGATACATTTGTAACAAAATATTTCAAAACACAAACGTGTCAAAAATTGTGATGACAAGATATCATCATAAATCTCAATGACTTATTTATATCATGCCGTTTAGAGACACTGCAGTATCATACATTCAGACCTCATATATGCATCCAATTGTTAGATTGTTCTTTATATTTATATATTATAATAATATATTTGAATGTTTAATTCACATTTCAAATGTTTAACCAGTAATTCATTGCATCCCACTAATATTCAAATGAGTATTCCGAAGGACAAGTCAAAGTAAAAAACAGCCAACAATGTTCAAAATGGCTGCTCTTAGAGTCTTACTTAGCTACAAACATTAATGTTCCAAACAATACAAACTTAGTTTAGCTACAGTTATAATACTTCATTATATATGCAACAATACATTAAAAGGCATTCATAAGTTAATGGGAACAAAGATGTCCAAAAGTATGCATTCCAAAAACATATCCTTCAACAAAAGAGGACATTAATTAATTAGTTTGTTCCTTGGAACATGCAACTTCGTCAAAAGGTCGGGTTCCTTCAAAACAGCTCCTTCAACGTCCATTGAACCAGTCACTGATCTCTGCAAAGAGAAAAAAATTATCAATTAAACAAGAACGTAACACAGGCCTACCCATTCATCGAGTTTGAATATGAGCAATAATTTGAAAATCTGAAATCATGCACAGACTCTTTCATCAAAGTTGCTGCATAAGAAACTCATTCTTCACGTACTTCTAAAATATCTTGTTCGGAATACTCTTTAACAGCAGAGAACTACATCATGATATTTAAAATTAGCATTTATTTGAAGTTAAAATATATCAAACATAGAGATGTGTAGATCGAGAACTACTCTTACTCACATTGTTGATTATAGAGACGTTAGTTACTACATCCTTCATGTACTTCATTATGTAATACCCACATTTCACACATCCAATTTGTTACGGTCACTACAAACAAAGAAACACACAAGCATATATATATATATATATATATATATATATATATATATATATATATATATATATATATATATATATATATATATATATATATATATATATATATATATATAGGGAAGAGTTCAAATAAAAAGACCTCTTCCCGTGCAAAGTACGAAGATATGCACTTTTTCATGTTTCTCTTGCACTTTTTTGTGTTTCTGTTGCACTTTTTCGCGGTGGGAAAAAAATGTTGTTTATTTACAAAATTGCCACTGCGATTTTGGTCGGATTTAGTGCACTTTTGGCTCATTTTGAGCCATTAGATATGAAAATGGATGCACAAGATTCATTCTCACTTTTCATGGGAAGAGCTCTTTGTATTTGAACCATCCCATATAGCTCAAAATGAGGTTTAAGTGAGAAAATGATCTTAGGAGAGAAATGAGAATGAATCTGGACTGTTAGATTGTATTCTGTGAAATTGAATGTGCATTAAGTGAAACTGAAATGTGCATTAGGTGAAATCGAAATGTGCAACACAAAATGTAAGGCATAGTGGTATTATGTGAAGCTGAATTGTGCATTATGAAAAACTAAAATGCGCACTACGTGAAACTGAAACATGCAGAATAAAAACTAGGATGCAGTGGCATTTTTGTGCCTTTTATTCTGCACATTTCAATGTAATTTAATGCACATTTGAGTTTTATTTTTCATTCTGCACATTTCAATTTCACGTAATGCACATTTCAGCTTTACCAAATGCACAATTCAATTTCACATAATACAATCCAACGGTCTAGATTCATTTTCATTTCTCTCCTGGGAGTCCTTTCTCACTGGAACCACTCCCATGAAAAGTGAGAATGAATCTTGTGCAAAGAGCTCTTCCCATGAAAAGTGAGAATGAATCTTGTGCATCCATTTTCACATCTAATAGCTCAAAATGAGCCAAAAGTGCACTAAATCCGACCAAAATCGCGGTGGCAATTTTGTAAATAAGTGCATATCTTCGTACTTTGCACAGGAAGAGGTCTTTTATTTGAACTCTTCCCTATATATACATACACACACACACACACCTATATATATATAGACACACACACACATATATTACTAAGATCAGAGTTATACTGTATGGGCATAAATGAAAGTTACCTGGACTGTGATCCAATTCACCGTAAGCCTATTACTAGACTTAGATGCTTGATACATTTTCACTCCTCTGAAAAATAGTCAAATACATTAAACATTACTCAAGCAAAAATAAACATTATTATTAAATATATAGCAAAATACCCTTAATCAGTTAAGTAGAGAACAAAGACCATTAAATATTGTTAAATGAAAAACATATCAATAACTCAAAACGAGGTTATCTTAAAAACATAAGATTAATTAGTAACACAATACCATGGTAACTCAGTAATGAATATTTTCTGATTGCGATTGTATTTTTTAGAGGTATGCCTCTTGGAGAGGTTTTGGTTTGGTCCCCCTCTCCTTCTTGTTGATTATTTCTTTATTAATAAAATCCTGGCAAATGTTCCCCGGCAAAAAAAAAAACTCAGTAATGAATATATATATATATATATATATATATATATATATATATATATATATATATATATATATATATATATATATATATATATATCACTAGTCATAAACTAGAATATAATACTTATGAGACCAATCAGCCGCACATTATAAATCCATGGTATGCGTATTAATACTCATGCATTAATATATTTAACCGGAGGGGAAATATATACTTAACTGGGTCACAATAAGCTTCAGATCATCAAGTGGAACATCTCCAATTGAATTCAAGTAATACACCCTATCCATTTCTTGGTCAATTCCAACTAATACCCAATGATCACTGCATACACACAAGGGTACAAATATAATATCATATAATTCATTTAGAAACAATTCCAGAAATATTACTAGTAGAAAGCCATTACTAGTACACATAAAAATTACTAATGATTTATTTTTATTTAAAAGGAAAATAAGATTCTTTTGTGTTCTTAATTTGCCCTTCCAAAAAATGTACAGAACAACAACAGATCGCTTATCTTTCTCGCTAAAAAATCTCTCTTGACTAAAGAGGCAATTTGGGTAAAAATCACATTCATTTAACTAAACAGGAGGCAATTTTGTACAGAGAACGCACCCTGAATTGTACGGGAGTAACGTGATTTGTCCAGGTAAACTGACGCCCAAAATATTTGATATGTATTGGGACCTTCTTATGATGGAATCATGAGATTGTTTCCTTGGATGTGGTATCGCAGCTGATGTACCAAACTGGACAGGCATTTCCCCACCATCCTCCAGCATTTTTTCATAAAGGTGCTTACAAATCGGAAAAATACAGTGAAATTTGTACTAAAAATTCCCAAGGCAGATTCATGTATTTGCTAGACACTTACTTGCACCAAATTTCTATCACAGAGTTTGAGACCTTCTCACAGTTGATCACTATGCGGCACATTTCCTTATTGAAAACAGACTTCGATGGAAAGCCAAACACATGTGCATCATTCTGTATCATGTATCCATTTCCCAGGCATCGCTCAATCAAGATGGAGAACATCTTCATGTTCATGCTTTGTTCTTTTCTTTTCTCTACGATGGACCTTGTTGTTCGTTGCATACTAAGCTTCCTGTATTTAGGGTATGTTTGCAAAAAGTTGAAAAAAATGTTATCAAGCAACAATTTTTGCTTAAACTAAACACTTAAAAGTTAAAAGCTATAAATTGCTTTTTACGTTTTCTATTACACAAAAAACATATTTTATCAAACACTACCAATGTTTACTTTTCAAAATCATTTTTTTTTTCTCAAAGACTATCGACTTTTACTATGGAGTATTAAACATTTATTCCAAAATCACTTTAAAAAGTGACTTTTTGTAATCAGAAGTAATTGAGAACACTCCCTTGACTTTCCCCTTTCATTGGAAAATTTGATAAATAAAATACAAGTTCTTCCTTGCAGTGGGATACTCCATCTAGAGTGACTTCTCAATAAATGTGTAAAATGAATCTCAATTTTTATAATTTTGCAATAAAAAATGGACATAAAATGCAAACAAAATTTCATAAGTATAACTATCATCACTTAAATATCAATGCCAATTGCCAATTAACAAAAACTAGAATTTACATGTCACAACCAAAAGTAAGAAAAATATGCCCCATGCATGAAGGAACACCAACCTATCGTATTATGTACTGTCCGACACATAATTGTGTAATTTTTTATGCCATACATATGAGACACTATTTTGACATTTGTGTATTACATACATATGGTATACTATTTTGATATTTTTGTAAAGGAAACTATAAACAATTTTTTATTAAAAATATTACAAACTACTGAATGAAACATGTGATAAAAAATGTGATAAAGAGAGGTACTTTCATAATCAGAGACACATTGGTATACTATTTTGACATTTTTGTAAAGGAAACTGTCACGCCCCGGACCGCAT